AGCCCAATTTGGTCTGGGCCTGAGGTGGGCTTAATAGCCGGTGACTACTGTATTTATACAGAGATCACAGTTTGCCTTTAAAACGGGTAATTGTTACGTTGCCCGTGAGCGTTAGATAAGTATACTTAAATAGTTACTATATACATTTCAGTAGGCGTAGTTTTTCTCAGTAATACAGCCGCGAACACATAAACCTTCAGGTTCCTGTGCTTACGTTTAGTTTTATTAGTTTTAGTTTCGTTTTTAGATTATTAGTTTTAATTTTAATTCAATCTCATTTTATAAGCGACATGCCGTAGTTTTTAAGCTTATCGTCTTACAGTATCTGTCTAAAGGCATTAAAAGCTCTTGTGAGTTTTTAAAAAACGGGGGAAAAGCCTATCTGTCATGGTTTATTTTAATCTCTTAAGTTTGATATAGCGTCGATACTGGTGTGTAGCCTATTTGCAGATATATTTTGTACAGTTCTTGATTCTTATTTGTTGTATTTGTCATTTTAATTATCGCGTGCATATTTTTCTAAATTTAAATAATTAGTTCGTATTATTCTCTGCTTTTAAACCCATCGCTTTATGATTCATTTCTTCCTTCCTGTGATATGACCCAACCATACAACCCGTAAGACAGAGTCCTTGGGCTAGGGACATCTGAAGACCTCGTCTTCCTTGGGAGCGACTATTGAAATTATACTTATCATGCAACATTTTATTGACAATAACACCTTGGCTAGGATTACTTCAATGCCCCATTCCGCAGGACATGACAACATGAACCGCTTGATCTAGAAAATGGCTCCATGTTAAATAACACGGATTTGGGGTTTGTGTTGGACTAAGTGCGGAAGTTAGGGTTTGGGTGATTTTTAGAACTACGTTAAGGGTCAGATACAGTCAACCTCCACATTAGGTTATGTGTCTGAACTAGGGCTAGGATTACCGTTTTGACACGGGAATATATGGTCTTCCCGGATTTTAGCACAGGGCACGTTCCTGCCTTGTAGCGGCCACGTCAGCTCTTCTGACAGATGCAACAGTATTTTTCTATTTCTAGTAACTTTTGCTGTCCTTGAATATGATCTCACACGCTACCGGACCAGTACATCAAACAACAGTGGTCGCGAAACCCTGTTATAACTTTTGGTAACAGCAGTTCAAGTAGTGTACGTCATATACCCTTTTTCTGAGTATTTTGTCCTATGGAAACGGGTGGGGAATTAGGGAAGGCAGTGGAATATCCTTTAGTAACTGCTTTATGCATTTTTATTTTAATGTATTTAGAAATTTTATTGATTTTATCTGTAGATTTTCCTAATCTGTATTATCGTTTAACGTATTACGGAAAAACCCGATTATCAAAATGCAGGTTTCTTGAACTTCCCGAAAAAATGAAAATGGTATTTAGGAGGTCGTGTACTTCAACTTACTTGAAGTCCAACTTACAGTTCTGGAGTTAGATCAGTATAGTTCGCGGTGCCAAGCGCCGCGCACACCGTCAATTTACGTGCGGAACGACTTACTTCCAGCAGCCGCGGGAAGCAAATTCAACTACATTTTTCCACTTTACACTTATTTCTACAATTTTTTCCACTGCCTATCCTATTTTCCCACCCCCCAAACCCCTATAACCGTAGTTTGCATAGAACAAAATGCTGTGACTAGAGGTATATGAGGTGTACTACTTAAACTACTTATGCCCAACTTTATATGTGACAGCCAACTGTTCAGGTTATCTTGAGGCATAAGCATGTTTACACTGCAGGTTTTCGGGACCTGGATCGTCTTTTGGCGTATGGCAAACAAAAGTATGAATTATTATTTGTTTGTGCACAGTTCTATTCCTAAGGATGCGTCCATCCTGGGATAATGCTTTTGCGAGTCGGATCCTATTCCTCAGGATGCGCCCATCCTGGGATAATGCTTTTGCGATTCGGATCAATTGTCTTTCGACCAGCCCGAAGAAAATTCATTATAGTGTGTGCTTCGTCCCTTGATTTCTCCGACTGTATCCAGCAGTCACGCGTACGCCAAAATTAGTAATAACAACTATCAAGGTGGTACGGTACTATTAAGCAAA